GATAAATTATTTCTGTTATTCCTATATCCGGACCTTTAAATCGTCATTATCAAAGATCCCACCCGTCACCTCATCACTGCGGCGACACTCAGTACAAAAGTCTTGTAAAGAGCACTAACAACGGAAGCCATCAAAATAGACCAGATTCTCCCACGTGTTTCATTCTCATTGGACAGCCTCCTCACCTACGAATCCAACCTCGTGACCCTCCATTTTTCGCTCTCTTCATCATTGTACAGCATTATTTAGTATTTACTGCCCTCTCTCTCTCTTTTCCACCCCGCTATTGAGTCCAATTCATTTTCCCAAAAAACAGAATCTTGCGTCAGCGCAACAGTCTAAATCAAATGAATGAATGAAAACTGAGCTGAGCCCACCAATAAAGAGGGTCAAAACCCCCCCCCCCCCACCCCCAACGATTTGATTTTTCTTGATTCTTTGTAGTCTTAGTTGATAAAAATCTGGATTTTTTTTAAGCGTGGCAAAAATCACAGCTCGGTTGAGGAATTTAATCTGATTTTTGTCTAGATGGAGAGGAATAGCATTAATAATTGCTGTAATGCATGGGAGGATATTGACTTGATAGATATCAACAGTTTTATTGATGATGTTGGTTTGGCTAACACTGATCATCCTTATGCTTATTGGAATCAGCCTCAGCCACCTCAAAGGTAATCTTCATTGAATCCCTTTATTTGTTATTCTTCTTGTTTGGTTTTTATTTTGTTATATGGCACGCAATGTTGCATGTACTTTCGTGATTGAATTCTGATTTTAGGCCATGGAGATGCTGTTTCATATTGTTTTTAATGTTTCCGGGTTCTGGTGGCATGTTTTTTTTTGCGATTTTGTATAAAATCTGGCCTCTGCAATTTTATTTTTTTATCTTTTTTTTTTGAGCCTCTGCAATTTCATCTTGAGGAAGGAGACCTAGGGAAAAATGGGAAAAAGAGAAAAACAGGGGTTTTTGGGATTAGTTTGTGGGCTTTGGACTGATTGATGGCTTGTTAGTAGTGGACTTTATTAAGGAACATGTATATTAAATTATTAGGAATTAGTATGATTTAGGTTTGGTATCTGGTTTAGTGCTTTCAAAGGTTGAGTCTTTTATGACTTTTAATGACTTCATCTGAGTTTTGTTTGGAAGTTTTGTAGCTGTACTTTGTTTTGGATTGGAATGCAAATTGGAAAATAATAACAGAGCGGAAAAGAATTTATTGCATGCTTCTTTTTTATTCTTTTTTGTATATTCTTCTACAAGACTGATATGTGTGACTGGAAAGGTGTGCAACGGTGATGAGCCTCTTAGTTTTTAAGGATTTGCTTGCTTTTGCCTTAAAGTTAGTTGGGTGCTTCAAATATGACCTCGAAATGGAGGTTCAGGAGATGAAAATAACCTTCTTGGTTACGTATGAAGACAAGTGTCAGCATAGCTCACCATATGACCCTCGTCCACTGAGTTTGCAATTGTGCCGAATTTATCTATGATAAAGTAGTGATAAATATGAGTAATAACTTGTTTTAGCGATACACAGTCTTTTGTCATTTTCCCTCTGGAATCTGCAAATTGGATGAATACTTTTTCCACGAGGTATGTCTGATCTTTATTCTTTTTCTACCCAAAAAAAAGTAGCTGCAAATATGAGTAATTATTTCTTTTGTCATTCTCCACCTGGAACCTGCTAATTGGATTTATGCATTTTCCACGAGGAATGCTTGATTCTGGAATGTTACTTTATGCATGTTTACTTGCTTGCAGCACTGGAGCGGAGCTTGATGCATCACTTACTTGTGCTACATCCCAAGAAAAGGAATGCGCGGAAGTAGAATGCCCGAGAAAGAGGTGCTTCACTATAGAATTGTGTTCTTTAGAATAGCTATTCGGTCCCTCTTCTCTGCAAGCTTATGAACTTGTACTATCTTATCTTTTTAAGGAGTTTGATATTTATGTTGCTGAGAAAACACAAATTTTTCTGTTGACGTCATTGACTTGGTGCTTTCCTGTTATTGCTTTGTTTACTGAACCAGAACTAGTTTTATATCAGTTTACTGAAGCAGAATTAGTTATATGTCATGAGTTACACTTTTTTATTTTCTTCTCTGGAATAATCTTGATATGCTTATGATAAATGCTTCTGATACTACAACTTGAATTTAAGATATTTGAGACGAGATTCCTTGTTGAATTGATTGGAGGGACTGCCCACAGTTATTAAAGGTACATGGTGCGCTGAGACCTCAAGGTGAAGGGAAATAAAAAAGATGTCAACACAAAAGCTAGGGCGGAGATCAGTAGAGAAAGGGGTGGATTATAATGAGCTGGGGGATGACAGAATTGACATCTTGATATATGGAAAAGAAATATGATTCTTTAAATAACTAGTTTGGAATTTGGCAAAAGATGATGAAGGGCATAAAAGGTTTTACTCTTTGTTTTGATGTACTTACAGTTGTTGAATAAAAGTTGGTCTTGTGGCAGATTGTAAATGTAGTTTCTGAATCTGTCTCACTTTAAATGCAACTAAATCCATGATTTTCCACATTCTTAATGAAGTTTTTGTTAACGGATGATGAACAGGGGACGTGTTGACTCTTGCAGCAGACTTGGAAGCAAAGCTTGCCGTGAGAGATTAAGGCGAGAGAAATTGAATGACAGGTTATCCTATTAAGGAATAGTTCTTGGGAACAGAATTCTAAAACGTTTTCTATAGTATTCATGCAGCCACTCGAAATCATCTCCCCTTAACCTCATTAAATTGTAACTCCTATGAAAGCTATTACAAAGATGCTTTATTTTTACTAGCAGTTGGTAAGCGGAAATCTTTTCTAATGGAAAATGCCTTTTCCTGTCCTCCTCGCAGGTTTGCAGAGCTTTGTTCTATATTGGAACCTGGGAGACCTATGAAAACTGATAAACTAGCAATTCTTGGTGACGCAATTAGAATTTTGAACCAGCTAAAGTCTGAAGCTCAGGAGTATAAAGAGATGAATGAGAAGTTGTCAGAAGAGATCAAGACTTTGAAGGTTAGCACAAGATGGTCCTATAAAACATTTGTGCGATGTTCGGTTTGTGTGTGGTAATATTGGGTATAAAAAATTGTTGAGCCTCCTGATAATGGAATATGATATTGCGTAAGATAGCCACTGCTCTTTTCCTGTTCTTTCTTGAAGAGTTCCACCTTTGATTTTTGAGAATAGTTTGACCAAAGAGTTTGCTTCTAGTGGCAGACAAATGAGAATCATGTCTGTGAGGATCAAAATTATACAAAATGAATTGTAGGATCACTTGTATGACATGAGATTTTTTTTGTTGGTTCCTTTTCTTTCCTCCATTGATACCACATGTTCTTTTGCAGCATGTGACATGAGATTTTTTTGTTGGTTCCTTTTCTTTCCTCCATTGATTCTACATGTTCTTTTGCAGCATGTCTATTATTTTCCCCGCTTTAGTTTTTCATGTAGTTATTACATCTGTTCTATCTCTATGTTCAAAGTGAATTGGGGATAAACCCTTTGCAGTGTGATGTTGAATAATCACTACACAGATTATGATAACCTCTTTTTTAGTGTTTATTTTGCAAGTCCAAGACTAGATAGATTCTAATCCTTGGTGACATTTAGATTATCTCACTTCTTTTGTTTGTTGTTCAATTTTGGTTTCTTCAATAATGGGAGGTTGGTTTTCAGAGCTTCTCTATATTGGTGTTGTCCAAAGTTCATAGGATGTTTTTCAAAAAGTAAAAGATCATACTTGTATCCTCAAAATGTTAAAAAGCAAAAGATCGGACAAATATTATGGCCAGATTGACAAGATTATCTTCCACACTGTATTGTTTGATTCACAATTGAATGCTGAATTTCTGCTCGCTTTACAGCAGTTTTAGTTCTATTCACATGTAACTTTACTGTTGATTGGCATTATGATCAAAAGTTCAATATCTAGATCTTGATTGCAGAATCTGCTCATATGTGGAGCTGGATCCATGTCTACAGCAAATTGAAAATGATAAAATTGGATCTGACCTGTATGCTCCAATAATACATATTTATGAAGTGTTAATGCATTCTGTGAAACTAATTTATGGAATAAGAGAGAAAATTTTCTGTATTTTGCAATTTTATCAACTTAAGACAATGGTAAAATATTTGAAGACCCACGCCAGTTATATAGGAAATCCATTTGGGGTCATTTCTATGTTATCTTGGACTATTTTACTCTGTCCAGAGATTATCAGGTCCTCAAGTCATGACTCGAAAACTTTCAGTGCCACTCTATATGCTTTCCTGCCTCCCCTTTCCCCAGTGATGTAAAAGTAAGAGACAAAAGAAGTTTGTTGTATGCTCTTTTGGTCCCTTGTGGAATCCACTGTACACTATGTGTTTTGACTTTTTTTTCATCTCTGAAACAGGCAGACAAGAATGAACTTCGTGAAGAGAAACTTGTACTGAAGGCAGATAAAGAGAGGATGGAGCAACAACTGAAAACCATGGCTCTTCCACCTTCAGGGTATATGGCACCTCATCCAGCGGCTTATCAACCTGGATTAAACAAGATGCCTGTTTTCCCTGGTTATAGTTTTGTGCCAATGTGGCAGTATCTCCCACCATCTGCCCGTGATACATCTCAAGATCATGAGCTCAGGCCTCCTGCTGCTTAACATGCCTGCAAGAAGGCATACAGCATATTTAGAAGCTTTGTTATGCAATTGAGCAACACCCTGCACCCTTGCATTTGTAAATATTTATGACATGTCCAGTTGCCTTTTTATGTTATTTCCTTCTTTTGACCAGCACCTTCAGTCTCTCATCAAGGGCTACATTGATGATGATGTGAAAAACAATTAAATTTGTTGGACGCGATGTTTTTAGAAGTTTCCTTCTTATTTCGTTTGCTTCTAGTGCTTTAATTTCTCATTAAATGGTACAAATTTATACAAATTTAAGGCATTGCTGATAAACTTACATATTGACCTGACTGGAAAAAGTTGATAGGGTTCAGATATCTCGAAAGTAGTATAACATCATTACTTTGTGAAGGTAAACATGAAACAAGAATACAGTAAGGCTTGAGAGACATTGTCTACTTGACATTGATGATCACAATCCTGACTTGGGATGCTTAGATTTTCAGGGATTTGGACGGACCATTTTGTGATACATTGAGGTTACATTATGGCAGGTTCGCTAAAAACCCCTCTCTCGGTTCCCTTCTCTACCTCCCCAGCCCATCGCCAGTGCATAGATTATGGTGCAAGAAAAGGAAAAATGGAACAAAGCAGAGCAGGCATGACACAGCAGTACTTGTGTTCAGAATTAAGCAAGATCTTTCATTTCATGTGTGAGATAGACTAGCTCATAGGGGCAAAAATTATCAGGAGGTTATTCAGATATTTTGCCATGAAAGTCTTTTATTCTCTTTGGCTTCTTGAGATAGAATCTGTCGAAGAGATTTGCTTCATTAAATTGTAAAATTCCATTTTTTTTTTTTTGGGAAGCCTCCATTGTCGAAGTCTCTTTCCTGTACTTGATGCTCTATCTTCCTCCTAGCATTTGAATCATCTGTCTGTGCTATAACAGCGTGTAATTATTTTTTCCCCTGGAGGAAGTGGAGTAATCTTAAGGTTCTCCGCTTACGTATTTTGCCTCTGAAGAGAAGTTTAGCTTCTTTGGGTCTTCCAGCTGTGGGATGCCTTCCTCATCCGCGGACATTGGTGCTTCATGGTCATTTTTTTTGCCCCACAGCAACAAATAAAGACCAAAAATCACAATAACTCCACCCACTATGCTGAAAATGACGAATATTAGGAGTTTTTAGAATGTAAAATTGGAAGCTCGATTGTCATTAAGATTGTCGTTATGCAGATAATGGTGCATTAGGATGCTTTGCAGTGTGCAAAATGGTTGATTGGTCTTTAACTTACCTGCCTAGGTACAACTTTTCTCCAAGAACAAAGTAGGCCAGAATTGCCACCAATAATGTCGAAAGTGGATTAAACATTGTCACAAAAACCGGTCCTTTTTGTCCAGTGCACCACAGCTGAATCAAGGTCACCATACCAGAAATGACAACCCCCTGTACTAAGACACAAAAAGTTAATTAACTAAAGAAACGAAGCATGATTAAGAAAATCTGCAATTAGATCATTGATCATTGTAGCCTACTTACTCCATAAATGGTAGACCAGAAATCAATGTTGAAGCCAATCGTCCAATCAGCTCTCTTGTGATGTGCAATAACTGTAAATACTGCTGATTGAGCAGCTCCAACAAAATTCATCCATGTAGTCAGCGACAATTGTGCTGGATACCTTTTCAATGTGTATGCCTGCCAATATTCATTACCACAGATGAACATGATGCTCTATACAAGAATAACATTCACAGATTAGTCACATCACATGCAGCAAGAACATCAGTAAGAGGTAGAGCCAACAGACCTGCATTATATACCATATGGACCATGTTATGCAGCTTGATACAGTTAAAACAGATCCCTTCAGCCAATCATCCTGGATGACTGTGTTGCCTCCTTGCAGATGGATGATAGGGCGCCAGAGATTCTTCAGTATAGGCCCCTTGAATAAAGTCATGGTCATGACACCAGCCAAGGAAACCAAAGTTCCGAGTACCTTGGCTATACCACGAGGGTTTCGAAGTTCGATGACCTCCAGCCTGCAAGATCAGGTTCTTTCTCAAGATTCACGAATGAAATGTTGTCACGATTTTCTTCATTTCTTTTCATAAATTTAACTTTATTTTTTCTAACAATACCTGAGGATAACTGCTAGTACAAAAGTCACGGAAGCTATGGTGTTGATCATTGATGCAAGAAATGTAGGAGAGGTGAACTTCAAGCTTGCAAAATACATGTTCAAAGTCAAACTGACTCTGCAAATGAATTATTGAACGAGTGTTACTTAAACTGCCGGACAAAAAAGATAGAAAGAGTATTGAGCTATGTATGTAAACTTACCCTAGAAGAGAGAGAACAAAAATCTCCAGGAAAAGAGCTACCGTCAACTTTGGCCTTATTTTTCTGCATATCAATATTGCTCTATCAATGCTTATGAAAAGTTTTGGTGTGTTTGTAACTTGTACGCAACAGGAAGCAATGTTGATTGATTTACCTTTCAAGAAAGTACGCAAAAGGCAGCATCATAATTCCTGCCAGTGTATGTCTGTAAGTAATGTAAACATGAGGATTCATGCCATGATCAAACGAAGCTTCTGTTATAAAATACAGAAAAGAATAGACAATCTGCGCTAAAACCATAAGAATGTGAGGCTGAAAACGCCTGCAGGTGCCCACAAGGGAACATAACTTCATTGCCATAGCAAAGGAATGTTTTCTACTACTATAGAAACTGAATTGGCTGCTTAGCATGCCAGTTAATATAGAAAAGGAACATTGAAGAATTGGGTTTTGATTCTTATAGCATGTTTATGATATGGTGTCATGTTGTGGATCATATCCCCACGGATAGCCAGACAGTAAACTGAAACAGGAACAGATTCAAAGGAAAGAAACTGAGAATAAAAACAAAAATATTCCCTTGAAATATATGCTTATATGCGCGTGATTCTTTGAAACTTGACTACATATAAACAATTCAAACGTGTTACTTTTAACTCTTCGCTTCTTTTCGAAATTTCTTTTTGCTTCTTATGTAAATGGTTAGTGCCGTTTGCTAAGTACTTTATATGACCAAAAATTGGATCACACTCATCCCTCAATTTCTGCCAAGTGCTTTTAGCTTCTTATGTATATGGTTAGTGTTGTTTGTTTCTGCCAAGCACTTACCCCCTTCCTTATCCGGCTCGGGACTAAAAGACTTTTTGCTTCAAGACCACAAATTGGATCACACTCATCCCTAGTTGGCACACTATTTCCATATTCATCCCTCCTTTTCTGCTATTGCATGCATTGACAAGGGGTCCCAAAATTTGCATACATGATCAACTCAAGATATTGGTATATTAAAAGGTAATTGATTGACGTGTAGTTCACTGAGTTTTGGATAACAGTTATTTGCCAAAAAAAATATTTGCTTATATCACAAACACATTTTCTAATACACTCTTTCATCTTCCTAATTACCTTTTCATTTTACATAAGTTTACACTAATTATTTCAAATAATTTCCTGTCGAAACACGCTCAAAAGATAGAGGGGTTAAAAAATTTGATAGTGTAGTTCACTAAAAGTTTCCCAGGTGGGACGTTGTTGATTGACTTGATTCTGTTTTGCCGTTGCAGAGGAGGTGTATTTGCGACACTACAACCCAGGCAATTCCATGATTACTTGGCTAAACTCGATTTATTATCAATGGGACTTGAATCTATTACAAATACCATGCAGAACTCACCACGAGGTATCTTTTTTCCTTCCTATTTCTGTTGAGTGTGGATTTCATATTCATTTTTGTCATTTTTTGGTGGCAGCCGCAAAGAGGAGTTCATGATCACGCCAAACTTTTATCTCCCCTCAGCTGTTTTGGCCCAAAACATGAAAGAAATTAGCTTTACTGATGCGTCTTCCATTACTTGTTACCATTTCGTACAAAAAGAAAAAGAAAGGTCTAAAGTTAGAGTAATGGTGAAGGATTTAATATTAAGGAAAAAGTTAGTGGAGGAGGATGGACTCGTTTGGAATAGAGCATATTATAACAGACGGTATGTATAGAGTACGTACTAAATTATGGCATCTTGGAATATTGTTTATCACTACAAGTTGACAGAGAATAACAAGCACATTCTTTTCTGGATATGGAAGCATTCATCTGGTGTCCAATGGTAATAATAGTTTTCTCATCTAATGATCCGGGCTGGGCAGTCCTGATGCAGTTATTCGCTAAGAAGAATTTCCCAAACCGGAAGATACATATTCTTGGTAATGCTGGTGTAGTTACAGACTGTGAGGCATCTTTTCGTCCAATCAGAATGTTTGTTAGATTTGCCAGATTCTACTGGGAATTCTGGGCAGGATTTGATGATTCCTTCTGCAGACAGCCATAGGAAGAAAACTGAAATTTTAACCTTAGCCAACCATTCATTTTCATTTTCAAGATGGTATCTCATGGTTTTGGTCAGTTGTCCTAGCTCTACTATACCCTTAAATGATACTTATCAGTAAGGTTTCGGTCCATTATCCCTTGAAAACCAATTGAGGACCATTGATCTGTGATGGCCCTGCTTTTTGTCATCAACTTCTTCATCTTGGCAGTTGACAGGGGCATGAGATCAGGAATCTTATTTCCTCCGAGTCTCATTGCAGCAGAAGGAATCCAGCAAATCTATTCTCTCATGTAAATGGCTAAAAAGCATTTCCAACCAAGATTCTTGTTCTTTTTTTTTTTTTTTTTAACTTTTCAAAAGAAATGATCCACCTCACCAATTTACTCCCACTTCATAGAATATAAATAGGAGACAAGATCAGACATCAAACTGTTGACATTGACAAGCAATAATTTTCATTCATACATCAGCAAGAAACAGCTTTTTCATTCATAGAACCTGTGATCATCGTAAACATGCTAACAAGGGACAAGACAGCTAATTAACTCAGCATGTTCTAGCAACATGGGTTATTTACTCAAAATTTGGGGTTTTTTACAAGAAAATTAAACTAATATTGATGGATTTATTAGCTTTACAAAACCAGAAAACTCGATCTTTAGACTTTAAGTCAGAACAATCTTAATCAGAACTACAGAGTTCAATTGCAGAAACATTCAAAGCAATCAAAAAGAATTATCCTGATAATCACCAGGGACCAATGTTAAACATAAATCATGATTAAGAGTACCCAAATAGTTTTTGGAACTTCCAACATGATTCCAAATGTGGAAACTCGTGAAGCATCATACCGCCTTCTTCTTAGATGTGCTGTAGAGACAACTTTGACTACATCTCAAAGCCCTATCAATCAGCATATAAAAATGTGTACAGAAACTCCCTGCCAAAAACTATAAGAAAAGGCCATGGGTTGCAATTCGATTCCTGCACTCATTCATGGTGGGGCTGGTTCTATTTGTGGAGTCACCATGAGATAGGGGAAGAGACTGAATTTTTTTTTTTTTAAGTCCATCTTTAGAAGATGGACTTGTCATCTACACTTGTTTCGGAAAACTATTAAATCCATCATTATATATTTAACTGTAACGGAAAGCATAAGGTGGAACTTCAAAAATAAAAGGCCAGCCTCTCTTATGCTAATATGAGCCAAGTTCTTATAGACTCTATAAAACAGAAGATTGCCAAGCAGTCGTCTTGAAGGAACCTTTCAAGAAACAGCCAGTTTTCTATAACAGAACCACAGACCAACAATTATAGACTTTCACATGACAAAATTTGCAACAGCTGAATTTTAAAGATGTGAAGACAGATAAATGGTTCATCCCCAACCAAAAAGCCTAGTTTTGAATTTCTTATTCGAATTCGATAGCAAGTTATTGTACGATCCACCGAGTCATGAGGAAAGCAAAATTGTTTCAATCCGAGTTTTCTTTCATTACAACTACAGTTTGACGTGTTTGATGTGAACACAGAGCTTGTGTGAAGCATCCTTGTATTGTTTTTCCTTCCCTATATTTTCTTTATATTCACACTTCCAAGGTCATAAAAGAATCTTACTGACTAATTACATAAGCGTAACCTCAGTTGGCAATTAGCCTAACCTGTTGCCAAAAGCCAAAACATGATTATAGAGGATATGGCTATTGTTATCCAACACAGAAAGGCCAAAGCCACAGCCATTTGGAACTTTGTGCATTCTTCCCCAAGACTACACCTTCCCATGTCACCGAAGTATAAGACAGTAACACCGGCTGAAGAAGCTGCTGCTGAAAGCGATAGTGTTGCTGTGACCTATAACAAAAGGAGAAAAGGTTATCCATAAAGAAGAACAGAACGTCCTTTTTGCTTCGAAAACCAATGAATACATATGTATACTGACCCAATCACCAACAACAAATAGGCTCACTAAAACAGGTTTATGGGGAATCTTCTTCCTAGCCATGGCATAGCCATCCAACAAAGCAAGTCCAAAGCTCCAGATGAGTTGCAAACCCATTGAGGCAATTAAGTAGCTGTAATAACAAGACAAGCTGAGGCACCATCCTAAAATTTTATTATGTTATACTAACACATTTGCAATTACTCAAGGGTATGCCAGCCACATCAGAGATCCTAACATAACATAAATAACAAAAATGTCTATTTTGAAATACAGTAAATATGTGTGTTAAAAAGCTCTTTCTAATTCTTTGCTCAGCTAAACATTTGGATGAGATAATAATGGAATGTGAATTGAAACTAAACTTTGGGCCTAAACTAAATTTTACATAAGTTTTCAGAATACGGAGATAAGACCAATAGGTCAACTAAGCTAGAAAACCAATTATGAAGGTGTACAAATACACACTCTAGAAAGCCCCATGACTTATATTTGAAATATATGAAACAAACAGAGATCTAAAATGTCTTAAGGACATAGGAAAAGGGCTTGCTAAAGAAGAATCCAGTTGAACAACAGGAATGGGATCTCACTTTCTTCTCTTTTCTTTCTTTCCATTTTAACGTTGTTCCTGTCTTCCACTACTTATCTTCTTCCTTATTAGCTGTTCTTTTAGTAATAAATATCTGTAGCTGTAAAGGTTTGTTTGAGGAGGACTTTATTAAGAGTTACCCATGAGACCCAACCAGCAGCAGTAAAGAGGTAAACTCTAGCAAGAGAAGGTACTATTGAAAAATAAATATGAAAGAGTTAAACTCTAGCTAGAGAAGGTACTATTGAAAAATAAATATGGATTTCATTACAAATGCTCCAAAACATTCTTCTTGGCTCTCTTTCAAGGGAAAGGATCACATGCCAAACTGTAAGGAACAGTCTTTGCAGTACTGTCTCAGATAATTGGTTGAGACTCTTTGAATTCAGCACAACTGCCTTAGCAAGGTAACAACAGTGGAGAGGCCTAAAGAGACTAATGATTTCTCTGTCAATTTTTTGAAGCCCCTGTTGTAAGATTAATTTAGGTTCAAGGGTAAATTAATGGTTCGAGGGAAATTTACAAATGTAGATTACCAGTCTGCATAATCTGCAGTATGCTTTTCATTCAGATTACTCTTGTCAATCACAGAATAGATAAACCAACTTTTTACATATGAACAACATTCCACATTGTAGAAAAAATCAGGAAATAGATGCTCTAGTTTCACCTCAGCAGGAAATACAGTAAACTTAGACCTCCATGATTCATAAAGTCCTATTGGCCAGCTCCTCGGGCAGCCTCACATAATCTATCAGTCTTTGAGAGAATCAGAGAAGGATAGATTTTTACAGGACTTCAAATTTTCGGTTGTAGCATATAACGCAAAACAGAGACAAGCAAGGTTTCTCCTAAGAAGCTAAGCAGAACATTAAGTCTTGTCCCATTTCCTAGAACAAGAGAATAAATAAAATGTGCTTTGGTTGCATAACACATAGCTTTTGGTAAGTTGCTACTTCAGTTGATTTTAGACTTTGAAAAAGATTTCCGTACTTCATTCAGCAAAAGAATGGCTCAGTTTAGGAAAAATGGTCGTTTTTTGAAAGTAGCAACCTGTTTGATGATATCTAATCATCAACAGCTCCACACTGAAAATCAATGCCAAGCTACAAAAACCAAACCGATCACTCAGTCTTTTGCATAACCACCTCATAAAACCACTCTCTTTGAAGCCAATTTATTTAATCCTGTTCTCAACTATGCACTCAATTCCAGTAAATCAGATCACCTTAAAATTGGTCATCATCATTAATCCCAAAACCAGTCAAATGAAGCAATTACTAACAAATACACTCCTAAATAGACAACTAATTCCCAGCCATCAGAGCACAGTTGCTATTAAACTAAAAAGCTAAAGATGCTTAAAGAATATATAGTGTACAAGATATGAAGCTCAGTTGAGACATGGAAAGAAGGAAAACCAGAAAGCTGTGACATTGAAGAAGGATTCTGTGGTTGCCATAGAAGTAATTGAACCAGCTGCAAAGAAACACTGGGCTACTCTCAAAACAAAACTAGTCAAAGTACCAGGAGTCCCTGCAAAATCCTTCATTATCCCTCCTTACTCTTATCAAATTTGAGAATCTTGAAGGGCTAGCACAACCATTAAGTCAATCATCCAAAAATGTACTTCCTGATAAACAACACTGGAAAAATCATTACTTGCGATCTTCTGTAAGCTGAAGAAACCAGAAAATGTTGAAAAAGAGAGCCACCTTAATTTCCTCCCCAGCAAAAGGCAGAATATTGGGATTTTGCAGTAGTTATGTTTTTCTGCAGGAGCAAGCCAAAAAGTTCAGATCTTTTTGTTGACCCACTTTCAGTTCTGATACAGGCAGGAGAAGTCATCCCCAGTTAGGAGGGAATGATCAAAGAAAATTTGTGACAAATTCTTTTCTTCCGTCCTTTTCTCTTCTTCCTTTTTTTTCCTTTAAAAAAAATGACATAATGGGAATTTGCTTAACGCTTATTGGTGTAAGAGCAAATTGCCGTTTTAGTCCCCACAGTTTCATCACTTGATAGTTTTGTCATCTTGATTCCCAAATTATTTTTATTCGAATTTTATTTTCCTAATGGGGGGAGACGTAAAATATAAGAAGCAAGGTTGAAAAAAGGGGAGATTTGATGATTCTCAAGTTATTTGTAGTAAGATAGTACTAATATAGTCCACTTAACAAAACAAGCCTATATGAAAGTAATTCTAACACTAATGAGTATATTACTGAATGCGACAAGAGTTTTGTAACATAATAAAATGATAAATACAAATAATTTTGATCAATTGCTTATTTGTAAGGTGCTAATATCGTCCATGTGGCATAATTATTGCTTCCAATCTCTACATTAGTTTCTCCAAAAGTCTTTTGAAGTGTGATACTGCTACATTGAGGTTCACCAAATTAAAACGTGAGGGACTATGATGGAATACGTGCAACAGCAAGGAGACCAAAAGCAGTACTAGAGCACTCATTTTGCTTCATTTCTTGTTCGATTGTGGGATGAGTCTCTCACTAGCCGATCCCATCTCTTTGTTAATTTTGTTCAAAATTTTTGTCCAGTAAACTGATATTGGCAATCCTTCAGATGGGTAAGGGATGAAATTAAGAGGTTAGGGGCAGAAAAAGAAAATGCCAATCTTGCCAATGGTTTTAAAGAAAATAAAAAAGGTGTAACAGAGCAATGATGAAATACGCAAGTTAACCGGTAGGTGGAACAATCATTTGCCAATTGTCAAAGAGAATTAAATGTCCACCGGACCCAACATGTAATGGTCAAATACTCAAAGCTAGCGTCAGAAGCGGAGATGGTTGGCAGTTGGCCCTTAGCATTGTCCATAGTCAATGCTCGATTGAACTGGCTTTGGTGGTGCAGTCCAATTTGGAGCTTGTTTTAGTGCATATAATACTTTGTTCGAAGATTTGTGGGCATTCAGTCAGGGAACCCTGATATGAATATATTCTGTTTTCATTTATTTTTGAAGTACTACATAAAAAGTGCTTGCAGAAAGCTTTGTTTCCCTCTAGCTCTTTTTTCTGTTATCACAAGGACTTCTCACCAAACAAAGGAAGACAACGTTCACTGAGTTTGCTTGTACTGATCAACCTCGTCTTTATATGTTTGTTTCATTTTGACCCCATTGTCTATCCACATCATTGGTGGGAAGCAATTTGCACCTCAGAAAAGAACAAGAAAACAGGCGGGCCAGCATCTACTCAACGTGAAATTATGTATCATCTACATTGGAAGCAAACATAAACACAGAGGTCTACCCAAATGTTACACAAGGAGAGACAGAATTCTCCAGTCTCAGCTGCCAAACGTAATTGACAAGGCTAGGATGCAATTTGTCTTCAGTAGGCGAACATGAAACAACTAAACCACGAGTATTCTTCATAATTATCATTTTATATTCAGTAGCTTCTCAGTCATCATAAGCTTCAATTTATCTATTTGAAACTGTAAATGCAGGTAAAAGGTATTCTTCCCGCCCCCACCCCACCCCCACCCCCTCCCTTCTTTAAATGCAGGTAAAGAATTTCTCTAGTAAAGTAGCCATTTTAGAAGTTCAATTACAGGGATGTGTTATTTCATACGTTCTAGAAAAGATGTTGAGATATGCCAATTCAATTAGTTAAGGTACTGGTTCATGACTTCATGTTTAGGCTACACGTTTTATGAATCTATACATCTTTTGCGACTGCTTTCCACTTTCTCAGTCTGCATAATTTTGCAACTTATTGATTCTCATTGATATTAATCAACGAAGAAGCAACATATTAGCAACAGGAATGTGATGTTCTCTTGCAAAACAATGCTGCAGGAGATACAGAAGTGCAGATTATTCTTTAACTCTTGTGGACACTGCTGCTCAGATCTTAAAATTGTCAAGGCCTGACTTGTCAATTGGCCTTGAGAACAAGCCACTTATATATTCTTTAACTGTAAACTCCCCGTAAACTGCAGGGGTTTCATCTGATGTCAACTCTTTGGCAGGACCATAGATCTTTTCAGGCACAGCAACACCGATGAAAAAGCATGCCACTGAAATCCTAGGTCCTATTCTGTTTGCAATCACTCTGTGCTCCCTGCTCTTAAACTTGTCGTTCGATACAATCTGACCAATATTTGGATTGAAAAGTGTTAGTTGCCGTATTAGATTCATTTCAGAGTTGGGGGGTTTAATTAATGTAGATGCTAAATTATCTTTTGGAGACCTACCTGAAGAAGATCTGCAATATTGACTACCAAACCTCCCGGGATTGGAGGCACATCTGTCCAATTGTTATCATGCAAGAATTGAAGGCCACCAATATGATCTTGTAGAAGAATGGTAAGAAAAGCAGGATCTGTATGCCTGTTAACTCCCAGAGTTAGGTCTGGCTCAGGGCACGCTGGATAGTAGTGGCACACAAATGACCGGCCCCTTGCGCACTCCATGGCTCTTAGGTTGTTGAGTTCCATGCCAAGAGCTTCTGAGAGTAACTCAAATAGTGTTTCTGCCAGCTTGGTTACATGATTTATGTAATCCATTGCTGAACTTCTGCAATTTGATATACAAGTACGAAGGAGATTTGTTATAGCTGGAATCTTGATTGCCTTTGAATGAAAGTCAACTAGTAAAATGTGTCAAGTAAATTGGTGATTATGCAGGAGAATGGTATACCTGCAAATCTCAGGCAGTTCATCAGGTACAATTTGATTATAGTACAGCAAATTGATGGTCAAAGTATCCCTCCAATTGACAGATCTTGAATGATACAGATCAATATTGCTATCAAATCTTACCTTTCTCATTCGATCACGAGAATAGTACTCTTTCTTCAGCTCTGCATCTTGTTCATGAAATTTGCGGGTTCCATCTATCATTCCATCCAAGACACTGGATGGAATTCCATGATTAACCACTTGGAAAAATCCCCATTCCTCTGATGCCCGCTTTAATCCATCCACGATACTCTTGCGCTGATCATCGATTTCTATGCCATTGAGATCTATTACTGGAACTTTTGCCTGGGAATGGCCATGGTTCAACTCCTCAACAAGCTCATCCGGTGGCCGAACGAAGATTTCAGGAAGACTAGTAACTCCAGCATCAACTAGTCCTTTAACCCCTGCTTTTGTATCATCAAAGGCCTTCAGATCTTTTATTCTACCATCATCTACACCTGATTGAGTTGTAGTCTCTGTGACACTTGACTCATCCATACTTTAGACTGCAAACTGTATAATGGTACCTGCAAAGTGCCCTATCTAGAACTTTTATGTCATAAGCTCATAAGCTTTCAGTAATATAAACTGAGTCAAATTGCTTTGAAGCAGAAAATTAATAATTGGATTACAGTGTTTTACGGAGGGAGTACCTTACCTACAAGTCTTTGACATTCTTAATAACTTTGAAATATTTGAAGTGTTTTTTTAAAAGAAAAACCATTGAAAAAGAATTCTTCTACTCACCTTATTTAAGAGCCAATGCCCAGCTGTGGAGGGTATTGACCATCCAATGTACTGACACAACTTGTATGGTAATCTCATTCAACTTTCGACAATGGGGCACTAGTTAATATCAAGTGAGCAAAGAAGGAAAATTCCTTAATGGAAGCCCTCAAAACATAAAATATTCAGGCCTTTATAAGAAAGAAAATTATTCAACAGAGGTCTCAAAACAAAAAATATTCAGGGCTATCAAGAAGGGAGAAAAAAATTGAAGGAAAACAAAAGATTCTCTTTTTGTTTAGTATTCAATAGCTGGCGTTATCCTTTCCTGTTTTTTGTCATTGCGATGTTATTGCCTCTTATCAAGTGTTTCTAGTAAAGTTTCTCCCATTTCCACACACTGTTATTACATTCTACTGTCTTGGTGTGAAAATTACAAATGAAGTTGTCCCAAGTTTGCAGAAAGCTAAATGATGGGGCGGAAGGATTACATATTTTCAGTAGTTTTTCTAATTTCGAAATTTCATCAAATAAAAAGAGAGAGGAAAAGGAAGGTGTGTTCCTAGTCGAGTTTGTTTTTCAGTGGCTCTAGATTAATTAAGCCAATTGAATTGACTAGTGATTTGATTTTGGATTTTGAATTGTGTAGTGAATAGGACTAAAGATAATCATCAACTAGGCTGATCGGATAATTGTTCTGCACTTTTTATGATTATTTGTTGAAAATGCAAGAAATCTCACTTTGTTTAGTATGTCCACGGGCCTTTACAGCCAGGAGCAACCTTGCTTTTCAATTTTTTTAAGCCACCATTAACTTGTACTTCATGGAAGGCTCATTTTTCAACCAGGTGCATGATCTATGAGTGTGTGAATATCAGTTTCTTCTCAGAATACTTAAATTGCAAATTATGATTCCAAAAACGAAGTTCAACTTAGCAAAATAAAGGCAGCACGAACGGTGCTGCTATCTTGGAAAACAGAGATTTAGGAATGACAAAACAAGTACAAGTACACATGACATGGTCCTTATTAGTGTAGTGTGTTCCACATAGAGTATGGAATAGAGCTATGGATTTGCTGGCTCATCAGATTTTCAGTTTCTGAAGGCGGGAGTTATCAAGTGAATTTGAGTAGAAGTTCTTGAGATACTCTCCAACTTGGAATTCTTTGTAGAGTGCTGGACATTCTTCTGAAACCAGTTCTTTGATTGGACTGTAGATCTTTGGAGGTGCAATTACACCAGAAAAAAAGCAAGCAATTGATATTCTAGGTCCAATACGGTTTGCCAGGACTCTGTGCTCTGCACTCTTATACTTGTCATTCGAGACAATCTGACCAATATTTGCATTTTACAAAGTTAGTTGCCAGATTAAAAAAGGGAGGGCTGGGACTTGGGAGGGGTTTTGATTATTAACAGAGTCACATTAAATCCTGCTTAAACAAACCTGAAGAAGATCTCCAATGTTAACCACCAAGCTTCCTGGGA